ACTGAAGTACCTTGGACCATCTTAATGGTCATCAAATTTGTCATAGCATTTTGGCGTGCACTCTTACCAATTTGCCCAAACATTTCCTTAAGGTTAAGCATAATGTCTGCAGAAGTGAGATATTGAAGATGTTGACTTTGGAGTACATTCGAGAGTGAAGCAAGAATGTAGCACCTAGTCATCTCATCTGCTTTATTCCATTTCTTAAAAACTTCATGCTCCTCAGGAGGATCCTCAGGCAAAGGTGGAGAAGGTTTAGGAGTAGTAAGCACATAATTCAACCCCTCATATGTGAGTACAATATCTAGTTGCCTTTTCCAATCGATATAATTAGGTCCAGTTAATCGATTTTCTTTTAGTATGTTTGCAAGTGGACTGAATGGACTAGTCATGATAAATCTGAAAATAAAAACATTCATACAATAAATAAAGTGAATAATAATAATCATGCAAGTATAAAACAATTAATTTATTGTGGGTCCCTTAACCACATTGCATGAAAAATCGGACAATCAATATGCCAATAACTTATCCGGTTGGCGGAATTCATTATTACTTATTGATGAGAATAACTCATTATTTCCATATCTCTTTAGACAATGCCTTATCTAAATATGAAATAATTCCCGACTAGATTTAGCCTTTCTAAAATCACCTAGTATAGACCACTCCGTTGGGGAGCTAATACTATTGATTTTAGATTGAGTGTATAACATAATTAATGCTCCAACGGAAAAACAAATATTAAATATATTGCCATTAATAGCTTAGACTCTTTAAATCATGCGTAGGGCCTTATTTTTAAAGATCTAACTATAATGGTTATTTAATAAATATATTTTCGTGAGACAACCATTCTTGTAATCTAGACTCTTTAAATCATGCGTGGAGCCTTATTTTTAAAGATCTAATTATAATGGTTATAATTACGAAGGCCATGGGGTAATGTATAAAAAATTCCCGCTCCCACTCAATTTTTAATAATATAAAACTAGGGTTTTTAATTCATGATTTAATGCATGCAAAACGCCTTGATTTTAATCCAATTAAATTTAGAAAATATATGGATTTTAAATGATTCACTAATCTTTAATTTGAGGCAACAAATAATTTTTAAAAATTATTTTTCTGTTTCCCAATAAATGCCCTCAAATTAATTAGCAATCTAATCCAATTTATCTTCATAATTTAATTAATATAAATCAAGCCATTTAATTAAAAATCATGGATCCAATGCATGAACAATTATAACAACTATTAAATTATTCCATGCATCAAATAATAGACAGAAGCAATATAAACGGCCAATGGATTCAGCTTTTAACATTTAAAAACTATTCTTGCTGTACGGGCATCCTTCAACTGTCTGTAAACACCCATAGGAAGCTTGTACGCGTTAGGAGAAGCAAAACACCGCTTGGAACGAGCCCGGAGGACCCCACACGCGCTGGCACGCGCCTAGGGCAAGCTGCACGCGCTCCCACTCGCCCAGGGCAAGCTGCACGCGCCCCCACGCGCTGGCACGCGCTGGCACGCGCTTGGGGCGCGTGGAATGCACCCTCACGCGCTCCCACGCGCTTGGGGCGCGTGGGACGCGCCTCCACGCGCCTTCCCGCGCGTGGAGTCTACCAACTCCTTGGCTGGCGCGTGAGATCCACGCGCCAGCTTGTCATTGACCAGCCCACTCCTGGCGCGTGTGGAACACGCGCCAGGATCACCAAGCCACTGCCACACCTGATCCGGGCCACCTCCGACGCCTCTTCTCGCCGCCGGCGAAGCTCCGGCCACCGGAAAAACGCCGAAAAAAATTCAAAAAATCCGGAAAAATTCCAGAAAATTAAATTAAGCCTCAAAAAATTCCTGAAAAATTCAGAAAAATTCCAAAAAATTACTGAAGCATAATTTAACCCTTTCGGACCCTCTTGAAGCTTCATAGCATCCTTTGATGAATATTACATGGCTTTACTAAATACTTACAATTTGAAATACAATGGAAAAAATTAAATTACATCATTGAATTTTCAAACGGCTAAAACAAAGCCTTAATTACATTCATCCAAAAATAAAATTACATTTTATATACCTATAAGCTTCATCCATGGCCCAAACACACATCATCATCCATTCACAATTATACATACATCAACATGTATTAATATATATCAACATAATAAATCATACATCAACATATATCAATAATTTTATATATGTATATATAATTTGGATCCATGAATATGATTTTATAAACACATGTTCTCTAGTAATGAATCAAACCATGTGCTCTGATACCACTGTTGGGAAACGTGCAAATTTTTAAAACTTTTTGAGGGATTTGCAATCATAGATCTTGATTCATTACATGGAGACAAGTTTTATGCAAAGATAAATAAAAGATGATGCATAATTCAATAAACAGATTGAATACTCACATCAAAGGTCTGAGTAAACCTTTTGAACTTTCCTCTAAAGTGAATGTTCTCACTTATTGTAGATCCCTTTAGCAAGATCCTTTCTCCTTCTTTTTGATTATTATCTTCCCTTTAGGAATCACCAATATGCCTTGATGAATGACCTTGGAATCTAGGCTGGTGGTAGCCTCCTTTAGAAGAGAAACAAAACCCTAAAATCTAGAGAGAGAAAGTGTATTCCTTTTTCTTGTTCTCCAAGTCACCCCTAAAATATACATGAACTCATGTATATATAGGCAAAATAAAAATAAGAATAAGGAAACAATAAATCATTCTCCATTTCTAATTCAACTTTCTCAATCCTAACATGACTCCAATATCAACTTGGGCTATTGGTGAGAATCCTTTTGGGCTTACTATTTTCTTGGCTCTTATAAATTAATAATTGGTCCGGTCCATTAAACCATGGACCCAATTCAATTAATTCATAAATTAATTTCTATTCCACTAAAAGAAATTAATTGCACTCCAATTAAATAGTAAATAACCTCTAAGTCAATGTTGCACTTTGACCCCTCTATGCTTAATTATTTATCGGATAATTAAAGCCATCAATCCGACAACATAATTAATATAATTATTTTGTTATCTTTGATTATTTCCGGCTCGATCACAATAAAATATTTATTTAACAAAAAAAAATAATAATTTATTAAATAAATATATATATAAAACATTTGTCTAAAACATACGAAGGCCTTCGAATTTAATTTGTGATCAACCATAATCAAAACAAAATAAATACAAATAGCACTGATGCAAATATTGAGAATATAGACCTCTAATTATTAATTACATAACTACCCAAAGTGTCGATCTAAGGATCCCGAGGTATCCGCCGAGCAAATCAAAGTAATTATTAATTAATAAAAGAGTCTATACTTCTCTCATGCTTGAGAGTCAAAAACCATGACTGTGATAGAGAGCAATTGCATACGACAGCTCTCGCAATATATCTCAATCTATCGTGGACTCGGTTTAAGTCTTAACTAATTAAATGTCCATCCATAATTACCGACTTTAAACCATTTATGATTACTAATTTATATCATAGTATTAATTGCCATTACATACATATATAAATATATTTTGTAATCAAGCGGACACCATCAATTCCATAAAGAATCGAAAAAAATAATACATTCTATTCACCAATTGTATAATGCTTTAATAATAATATCCAGACAAGAAATTATGACTTTTACAATCCAAAATTAAAATTTATTATGTTAGGACACACATATCTTAACAATTGCATCCTTGAAATGCATTGTGGTGGGATCAACGTAATGCGATCGCGAAATCTAACAATAGTTCCTCTACTTCTAAATTAGATGTGTAGTGAATTTAGTTTAGATTTGTCATCTAAATCAAACTCATAACCATGGGGAGTAGTGCTAGAGTCAAAATGAACAACAATTAAAAAAAGAAAGTTTGTGCCATTAATGGAATTAGTTGAAAAAGATGAGAACCGTCCCAGATTGCCACGTTACTAGGGATGACCATTTAAAGCTCAAACCTGTTTTGGGTCCTACCAATAAAAGCATGTTAAGATTTTTTTGCCAAAAAAGCTATATGCATTATAGTTGTCTTTAATATTCAGTAATATTGAAATACAAAGCTAATCCAAATATAATAGCATTCTTTTTCTTGGCCCACTATTGTTACTGCATGCAATTTGCAACTTTATCTCCAAAAGGGGATTGTTCTTATTATTAATATTTCTTTTTTTTTTTGGCATCTAACGACACTTCAAGGAAATTTGTCAATTTGGCGATGACAATATTTGGATTCTCAATCCCACCAATAAATTCCAAACAGAGTTTGCCGGTGGTTGGGCAAACTTTCATCAGATATTGTACATTATGACTTTAGTCTATGCAGTCAAATTGGGTGCATAAAGAGAGTCATGACTTTATGAGCTTTCATTTCTTGCCGCATTTTCTGACCAGAAACATCACACAGATTTCAACACAACTCCATTATTGTGTAGGCTTGGGTAGTTGAACCTTCATCAAAAAGACAAGACATTTCCGAAGAATGGATTTGAAATGGATGGGACGTCCGTTCCAGACACTTTACTAGCTACCATTCCTTCCTCATAGACTTGCTTGGATTTTCCCAAAAAATCAAATTTGTAACTTGTAAGATTGGAGACGATCGATTAGGCCCATTATGATTTTCCCATTTGAAAATAAATTATTGCTTTACTCTCTGGACACTTGATAATGAGTTTGAATCTTTAACACCAACTAGTTTATCATTCTCGACCTAAAAGTCTAACCCAAAGTCTTTGCTTTTGAGGTTCATATCTTTTGGGCTTATCCACTTTAGCAAAGGAATAAGAAACTCTTAAGAGACTTCGATTAGAATTTTAAACCTGAGAATCATTATCTTTTTGTGTCATGTTCTTTTTAAATAAAATGCGAACTAAAACTCGCCAACAAAATACTTCATCTGTATTTGTATAAAAATATGAAGTCATCTAGAAAAAAATCATAGCCAAAGTACTTGCATGCATCATTTCATAAATAAATAAAAAAACCCAAAAGTTATGTCATACAAATTATTACATAGCTCATTTCAGTTGCCATGGAAGATATCATGGACGTACTCTTAGACTACTGCATAAAACACCATGGATACATAAGGTGATAGTTGTTTTCTCGGTCCGATACGCCAGAACGTTAAACTAACGGAAAGAAAGTGGAAATGGTCGAATAAAATGGTATAGCTAGTCATAGTTTGAAGATTCAGCAGTCACAGCAACTGAAACACATGAGGTGTTCAACGGAGGAATGGTGTAGGGTCCGAATAATAGACCTTCGGAAATCCATTTAGCTGCTGCTTCTGTGTAGTGCAAACCGTCCCAGTTAACATACAGAGAAGGGTCGTCGCAACTAGTTACCGTCGGAGAGCCACATGACACAGATGAGTTGTAATTGTATGGGCCACCCCCTCCACAGCATGCAGTCAGAGCTCCTTCTGTAAATCCTGCATTAATAGGACATAAACAATAGTGTCATACCTAGCGCTGCATCACGTGGGATCTGACCAACTTATCAGGAGGTAACGTTGCCAAAAAAAAAAAAATTTACCATACTACTTTAAAAAATTAAAAAAAAAATTAGTAATAGTAGCTTAATCCAAAGTTACTTCAATCCAAAATTAATCCATCCCATTTAAAAAGGTTAAATCCGTCCTTGATAACGATGCAATCTCCACCTCTGGTACAATATATATCTAGAAAAATCACAAAATATTGATGTGTATAAGAAGGTTAAAAGGGTGCATGGAAGTACCAAATTTGGCGGGAGAAAGATACAAGGGCATTGCAGCATTGTAATAATCTGCATAGCTAATGGTGGTATGGGGATGAAGTTGTCGAATCCGGTTTAGTTCTATCTGAAGTAATTCATTGTGGTACTCAGAAAGCTTGTTCAACCAAGTGAGGCAGCCAGTTTTGGGGTCATAATCTTCCGCCGTAGAATTGGTGTAATAGGCTAGATTGGCCGCTGTGCATCCAAGTGGTATGATCCCAGGGACCATGAGCGTCACCACTCCAAGCTCGATTAACTCCTGCATGTATAAACCATTTTCAAAAGAAGTGTGCACGCCATGTGATGTGTGTGTGTGTGAGAGAGAGAGAGAGGAAAAATTGCATTTTACAATGCAACCAATTACAATGGAACACTGAACATGAATTGTCCACTCAAAACAAGTGTGCACGCATAAAGTGTTTTTTATCTTTTTCCTTTGGAGCATGGCCCGTGACTACAGTATCGCTGTCAGTACGAAAAAGTTACTACTGCTTCAAAAGTACAATCAAAGCCCTAGGGCACGTTTTATTTTATTTTATTTATTATTATTTTTTGCACGGACTTTAACGTTTGAGTTTTGAGCAAATTATAGATTGGTTGGCTTTTATTAATTTGACATCCTCGAATTTTACAATAGTTCAACCATAAGAAAAAAAATCTCAAATTTAAAAAACTATATTACCTTTTTATTTTATTTTCCCATCTTATAAACATTATATTATACTTTTTTTTTTTTTTTTGATAAACAAAAAAACCTAATCAAATATGGTTTAAAATAATAATAAGAAGTAAGAAGCTAAAAACAGAGCACAACAACAACATTGATATTAGCTTCTTACATTGATAGTTGAGGCAATAGTATTAACAACTATTGGTACAAATGATTCAACCTCTTCTAAGCTTATTCCTGCCGTCAATGAATGGTCATAATCATTGCCTCCAATCGTTCCCATTAGAACAAGAGAACTCTCAAGAAGTTTATTGCAATCTGCATATATATATATATATATATATATATATATATTGAATCAGCACATTAAAAGTTAAATATAACACGTAATTATTGTTGTATTAAGCTATTTGAATTTGTGTTTAGGGATCACATTTGTGTATTACTTCTGTGCAACTTGGAACCATTTTGCATAAGTTGGAACTATATTTTGTGCACAACATTTTAGTACTAATGACAAATAAGAGAATTTGATAATCTGTTGAACTGTAAATGTCAATGGATGATAAATATTTACACACCATTTTGATAACTAATTGCTGAAACATGTACTATTACATTAGTACCACTTTATAGTGTAACTCGGTGTCATGTCTTCTACACATGGGTACCAATTTTGTAAAAAGAGTGGTAGTTAATTAAAGAATTTAGTTGAACAATAAGAGAGACATTTAAGAAAATGAAGTGCAAAATCATGTACACATCACGCTTTGGTCAAAGTCTATAATTTTGAAAAATGTTGATTTTGACTACTCTATATATGGTTAAATAGACTCCCAAAAGTACATTATTTCTATAATTTTTCCTTAATTAATTTGTAATTTTGTTAGAGAAATACAAGGTGAGTCGTGCATATCATTTAATTGATATATCCATCTATTCAATATACTAGATTCATAAAAAGTGTTCCTACTTACATAAAAAAAACCAATCAACCAAATTAAAATGGTTGATATTGATTGATTTGGTATGCGGAACTCACCGGGTGTGTATATATATATACATATATGGATGAGAAAGTCTAGAAATAAGTGGTAAACTCCCAATGATCCTGGAGTTCAAGTGGTCAAATAATATGGAGGTGTACTTACCTGAAGATGCGTTGGCGCAGAGAGATGGCAACATTTCTTTGAACCAACCCAACTGAACTCCCAACGAAAAGTTCTCGTATTGATTTTCAATTCCCATTTCTCGGTAGAACGCAGCATTCATCGTGGAAGCACCCACTACTGCAAAATTCACACCCTCTTCAAAATTCAATGACGAATTATTCTCTCCATTATCCAAATAAGGTGGTGCGAATCCAAGTCCAAGATTCTGAGCTGCGATGCAAACCCCACTAACTCATCCATCAAATTATATATATATATATATATATATATATATAGTACATGTGTGTCTAATATAAACTTCATTTACAAGAAGGTAACCTTTAGATATGATTTAAGTATACTTGATGTAGATAAATCTCTTCTTCATTGAGCAAGAGATCATATTTATATATATAGATATTATATTTGTATGTATATAAATAAATGTACCAATGTAGTCAATGATGGGACGACCATCGGAGCAACGGCCGGTGGGACGATGGAAGTAGGTTTCTCCATATGGTAGATAAGCATAGTTGGGGAGAGTCAAGTTATTGGAGATAGAGTAGTGAAGATAGTTTCCGGTGTCGGTGAGGGAGTCCCCAAAGGCGAAGATGGATGTGTAGCATCCGATGGCGGGTTGGGTCGGGATTGTTAAGATGATGAGGGGGAGAATGTGAAAAATGAATGTGGGTTTGAATGTGAAGTAGTGAGATGAAGAAGAAGAAGAAGAAGCAGCCATGATAATGTAAGTTTATAGAACTGATCGAGTGTCTCAAGAACATATATAATCAGAGAAGTGAGTCACGTGAGGGTTCAACAATTATATATCTCGACATATATATGTATCATTGCATTCGCTTAACCATCAGTCTTCTCAAACCCATCCACCAAACGGTCGAGCTTCATATTATACAATGGTGGATATGCAATGGGCGTGTTTACTGGTTTGTTCGATCCCTCGTGTCAACCACCCTCATTCTTTTCATGTCAGAGCTAGTGCTGAATTATTTGACGTCAATGGGGGCCACAACCACACATTTTTTTAAAAATATTAATTTTAAAATCTCTAAAGTTCTAACAAGATTTAAACATATGGTCCTCCAATAATTTATAAAGATTTCAATTTGCGTCGAAAAAGTTTATGCACGTATTGATTTATGAAGTAATCTAATTAATTTATTCATATTCTTATATGAATAAATTGTAAAGAAAAATTACACTATAATTTTTAAAATTTTACTTAATCAAAATTAATACTCCAAGTTTTTATTTTTGTAGTATATTATTATACTCTCTTATATGGGGGATTTTTTATTTTTAAAAGGAAATATTGCCCCTTTTGCAACTGATTTCTTGAATAATAACAAAACCTAGACCCGAACTGACAAAATTTCATTAGCGCCCATCAAAAGACATGTAAAAAAGATGTTTTTACCCATATTCAGAACAAAGCTTTTCAATAATTAATTACTTAAGTTACCAATATAATTGACTAATCAGAAAAAAAGCGACAACACACAACCTTCCTTTATCACATTTATACCCATAGAGCTCCATTTCAATTTCCATTTACATCTCCACCTCCATCTCTGCTGCCACAATGAAAGCAACAACATACAAAGAAAAAACATAAAAGTTAATTTTTGCAATTGGAATTAATATGAAAGATGAGAAATTGAGAACTTTGGCATAAAATGTTGGGAAAATCATCATCAGGTAGGCCTAACTTGGATTCAAAATCCCATCAGTAAATTCCCTTTTGCATTTTTAACACATTATCATTTTCTGTATTTTTCTTCTTTTTTTAAGTAAATAAAAAGAAACTTTTAAAAGAGGTCCCACTCACTATCCTTAATTTACTAAATCTGAATATATATACTACTACTACTTTACTTAATTCGGTGAGTTTTGATTGTTGGACCTTACGTATCAAAAACAGACTTCTCTTCTCTTCACTGCATGCCGGCTGGTTGTGCAAGTATGCTGCCAACTACCGAGCTGATATTTAACCTCCACTTGATTACTTTTTCATGATCATACTTAAAAGTTCAAACAAGTAAAGTAGTTCCGTTATTTTTGTCACCTCTTCGTTTCACGGTGTGGTAATACGGACTTGACAATGGCAAAATGTTTGATGATCAAGACCTTAGTGTCACGGACTTGAACCTTTTCAAGCTCCCGTGCGGCCTTAGACACTTTTAAGCCCCCTTGAAGCGCTAAGTCAGCCTACCTGAGTGAGCTAGCTTAGTGAAGACTAAGGCTAGACAAGTGTTTTGCTTACTTGGGTGTGTAAGAAGAGGTTAGGCAAGTGAGCAAGAGAGTTTGGGAATGTATAAAACTTGTATTGCTTGAGAGGAGAGATTATAACTTGGTTGCTTGGTGAGGTGCAAATGAACTCCCACCTCCTATTTATAAGCCTTTGGCCTTACAAGAACATTCTAGATGTGTACAAATGTGTGGCCTAGATTTAGTGTCTAGAATCCTCCAGAAATATCTACACAATTCTAGAACTATCTACTATGTACAGGACAAGTCTAGAGAATTCTAGAAAATTCTATACAACTCTAGACAAGTTTATAAAAGGTTAGACAACTCCACATTAATCTAGAGGATTCTGGAAAGTTCTATACTTGTGTAGAGAAGTCTAGAAAGCTCCAGTCCATGCAGGCTCCATGTCATCGTCTGTTGGGCGTCTACGTGGCGCCTGCGTGGTATAGCCTCTTGGTAGTGGGGTGTGACATTCTCCCCCACCTAAGCTCGCGACGCCCTCGTCGCGTCTTCTTGCTTGAACCGCTGGATATGCTCCGCGAATTGCCATAGTGTATCCTCATGCTCCCAGCTCGCCTCGCTATCTGGCAGGTTCTTCCATTTTACTAAGTACTCTGTATACTTGGGCACACCTCTCCTGATTATCACACGATCCGCAAGGATGCAGTCAACTTCCTTGTCAAAAGACATGACAACGGCCGTGGGTGCCCTATGCGATTTGCCCCGAGTAAGGTCTTCCGTGTCTTCATGATAAGGCTTGAGCATGCTGACATGGAAGACTGGATATATCTTCAGCTTCGGTGGAAGCTCCACCATGTAGGAGACCTTGCCCACCCGCTTGACAATGGGGAACGGGCCCTCGTACCTCCTTACTAGCCCCTTATGCACACTCCGAAAGGACTTGAACTGCTGGGGTAGTAGCTTAACCATCACCTGGTCTCCCACTATGTATTCCACCCGTCTTCGTTTGGTGTCGGCCCACTTTTTCATCTTCTTTGCCGCCTTGTCAAGGTACGCCCTAGCCAAGTCGGACTGTTCGTGCCACCTCTTAGCAAACTTATAAGCCTCCGGACTTTTACCATCGCAAGTCGAAGCAATGGCGTTGGGTGTCATAAACTGCCGTCCGGTAACAACCTCAAATGGACTGTGATTGGTAGCCTCACTCCGCTGCAAGTTGTAAGAAAACTGTGCCACTCCAATGAGTTTGGCCCAATCTCGCTGGTTGGCACTCACATAGTGCCTTAAATAAAACTCCAGGAGAGCGTTAATGCGCTCCATCTGCCCATCTGATTGGGGGTGGAAACTCGTAGAGAAGTTGAGATCCGTCCCCATCTTCTTGAAGAGCTCCGTCCAAAATCTACCCGTGAAGCGCGGGTCTCTGTCACTGACAATGTTTTGCGGGACTCCCCAAAGCTTAACCACATGATCAACAAATAACTCCGCTGCCCTCTCTGCTGTGCAGTTTGCTAGTGCAGGTATAACGGTGGCATATTTGCTGAACCGATCTACCACCACTATAATGCTCCCGCAACTCTCTGACTTGGGCAAGCAAGTGATGAAATCCATAGAGACGCTCTCCCATGGTCTTTCTAGAATAGGTAATGGCTTTAGTAGGCCTGCAGGATGCTGTTGCTCAATCTTGTCTTGTTAGCACACAAGACAAGTCCTCACATATGTCTCCACGTCATCACGCATCCGAGGCCAATAGTAAGAATCTTCTAGGAATGCTAGTGTGCGTCGCATACCTGGGTGACCAGCCCATTTGGTGTCATGGCACTCCCTTATTAGCTCCTTTCATAAGTTGCCCCACCTGGGCACAAAGATTCGGTCCCCTATAGTGAGAAGTAAATCATCCCTTAGCCAAAAGCGCCGAGTCTTCCCTTCCTTAGCCAGCTAAATAAGGCTTTTGGTTAGAGGGTCATGCTGCAACCCTTCCTTGATCCGCTCCACAAGAGGGTGCTGGGGCCGACTAATAGCTGCAAGCTCGGCCTTGCGACTAAGCGCATTCGCCACAACATTGGCCTTGCCTGGCTTATATTCAAAATGATAAGTGAACTCCGCTAGGAAGTCCTGCCAACGAGCTTGCTTGGGGCTAAGCTTCTTCTGTGTCTGGAAGTAGCTGGTGGCAACATTATCCGTCTTGATCACAAATTGTGCCCCGAGCAAGTAGTGCCTCCAAGTACGTAGGCAATGGATGACTGCCGTTATTTCTTTCTCCCGCACCGTATAGCGCCGCTCGGTGTCATTAAGCTTGCGGCTCTCATAAGCTATGGGGTGTTCTTCCTGCATTAACACGCCCCCAATAGCGAAGTCTGATGCATCTGTGTGCACCTCATATGGTTTGGAGTGGTCGAGCAAGCTAAGTACCGGCTCCTCTGTAACTGCCCTCTTCAAGTCATCAAATGCCCCTGGCGTGACTCTGTCCAACTCCAAGCACGCGCCTTCTTGAGAAGGTCTGTCAATGGGGCTGCTCTCGCCGAGTAACCCTTGATAAAGCGGCGGTAGTAGTTGACAAGCCCAAGAAAATGAGCGTAACTCTGTCACCTTAGTGGGCGGCTCCCACTCTTGAATGGCCCTCACATTTGTCTCATCCATCATCAACTTGCCATCCAGTATCTTATGCCCTAGGAACAACACCTCCTCTTGGGCAAAGGAGCATTTCTCCGTCTTCACATATAGGTTGTTCTCCCGTAGGACTTGGAAGACCGCCCTCAAGTGCTGCACGTGCTCCTCTAGAGTGGTGCTATACACAACAATATCATCCAAATACACCACCACAAAGCGATCCAAGTAGGGATGGAAGAGCTTGTTCATCAAAGTATAGAAAGTAGCAGGTGCATTGGTGAAGCCAAACGGCATAACAAGAAACTCATAAGAGCCATACCTCGTCACACATGTAGTCTTAGGCTCATCCCCGTCCGCTATCCGCACTTAGTAGTACCCCGAGCTCAAGTCTAGCTTAGTGAAGTAGCGTGCTCCACCAAGCTGATCAAAAAGATCGACAATGAGAGGAATGGGGTACTTGTTTTTGATAGTCACCTTGTTGAGCGTCCGGTAGTCGATGCACAAGCGCAAGGACCTGTCCTTCTTCCTCTGGAACAACACCGGTGCGCCATATGGGGCCTTTGAGGGTCGAATATAGCCCACATCTAATAGCTCCTTAAGTTGCCTCCGCAACTCCTCCAACTCTGGGGGTGCCATCCGGTAAGGCACTAAAGCAGGGGGTTTGGAACCCGGTTCTAGCTCGATCTTATGATCCACCTCCCTCCTAGGTGGAAGCTTCTTGGGCAGCTCCTTAGGCATCACGTCCGTGTACTCGTCTAGCACAGCTCGTATCTCCTTAGACACCTCTTCTTGTGGGGAAGGGACTAGCTCATCATCGGGTATCTCCAGTAACGTAGCAAGGTAGCTAGTCTCTCCCTTCTTGAACTGCATAGTTGACAAAGCTTGGGCTTCCAACTTGGTGCCTCGCTCCACCGGCACCATGCATGCTGTGTTGCCTTCCATAATACACATAGTGTTAGTAAAATTGATGGGGAAGGCTCTCACCTTGTCTAAGAACTCCAACACAAGGACTAGTTTGAA